TACTTCCATAACACGTTGCGCATTGTTTCTGATACAGCAACGTTTCTGATAGGGGACGATAGGTTGGGGCGGAACGTTGCCAGGAGTTTAACGTAAAGCCAGCCCACATTTGAGTAATGTCATCATCTGGATCTGCAGCAAATCTGGATCAGCTCCGTTGCTCCCCCGTTTTTAGAGATAATAATAACAAATAATAATAATAATTTCAATTTTTATAGCGCCTTTCAAGAGACCCAAGGACGCTTTACAATGGGAAACAAAACACCAAAAGAATAATAGTCACACAGATACACAGGTTGATGAGATGTGGGTATAAGGAGGAGAAGAGAGGGTTTTATTTTCTGACACTTTGTGATTCTCCTTACACACCGGGCGGGGACACATATTTATGTATAAAATACATCAAAAAGGGCATTTTGCATGATAGGTGACCTTTAATTTGTTTTGTGAGGATTTGTTCACGCATTCTGAAGTTACTATATATCTTATTCTATACAGCAATAGCTGTTGAGGAATATGGCTCTTAGTAATGATATACCAATCAAATCTGGTACTTAAAAGATATATAATTGCAATAACTTATTAGTGTCAGTAATTCAATCTGCGGCTGCTTCTATATAGCTGCTTTTCACTTTTGTTAAAAGCTTTGAATTCCATGCTTAAATGCTGACAGATATTTAGTTTACTACAAATGAATACACCTTCTTTGCAGAGCACTGTGACTTTCTGTTAGTTATGTGAAAACACTTGTAATTACTTTTGTGTGGCAGGACTTGATGCCTGAGTCGGGCTCTTGTTAAGCTTTGGGGGGGGGGGGGCCTCAGACTCTGATCCACACTGCAAAGCTCTGTGCTGGATCTCTGCCAATCATTACCGCCTACATCAACTTCTCAGACAGCTTCCTGGCTCACAACCATAGCTCACAACACATTCTTAATCTAACCTTGACACCCATTGTTAGAATGAAACGGTGAGCATCACCATCTTAAATATGTGAAATATGTTTCCTGGCGTGATCTTACTCTCTGTAATAAGGTGCAGAGTTATCTTAAAATAACCTAAATGTCATTCTGGCCAACACTTATAGTTTCACTGCTCTGTTCCACACTATATAACAAGACCGGCTTTCTGCCCTCGAGGCCCTGACACACCAGGCTGAAATCGGCCGTTTTCGTTAGTCGGACGACGAAGCGTGCCCTGTCGCCCAAACTCAATTTGGTGTGTCCCGCACCGCCGGCCGTGACACACCTTATTTGGCCTTTCATGGCCGACGCACGGCCGATTCAACATGCGTCGGCCACAAGCAGTCGGACAAAGAAATCACTCTGATTGGCTGTTCAGCTAGCGAATCAGTGCATGAGAAGCGAAACGGTTGCTTGAGAATGTCTTCCACAAGCAACACTCAAATGGCTCCAGTAAACAATGAACGAAACATGTTTTTGATGGACGAGAGTGAAAATGGAACGCACACGCTATTTGTTGTTTGTTTATATCACGTAGTCTGTTCTTCTTCTCTGTTTTCCGGTTGTTGCCTCTTTTGAATGATGAATACACACTACCGCCGCCTGCTGGTAAGGAGAGTTATTGCCGCTCACGCATGCGCAGTTCGTACGTGCTCGGCTGAAGTCTTTGCGGTGTGTTCCAGTGCGACACATGGCCAAGACGCAGGAGAACACGCCGACGCAACAGTCGGCGTCAGCGAGTTCTCTGGTGACTGCTTGATGTGTCAGGGCCTTTAGAATAAATCCAGACACAGCAATTTATCGTCCCAAACTTCTCCTGAGGTCAAGATGAAAACATCACAAAGTCCTGGCGTGGACCTATAGAAAGTTTGTTTTCTCTTTTATTACTTTTAAAGAACTTCTTTTTTAGTTGTCCTTTTTAAAAATGTACCAAATTGCCTTGGTGCTCTTAGGCTAATTGTTCACATTTATGGTTATTTGTTAATGTGTTAGACCAAATAGGAATAACAGAAGATGCGCGTAATTCCTATTGTATGTATACAGAGGCGTGTGGCGCAGTGGGTTGGGCATTGGTGGTCACAGGTTCAAACCTCACTGCAGTCAGCATGTCGTTATGTCCCCGAGACACTTCACCCCAAATTGCTCCTATGGGGATTGCCCACAGTATTTAGTATGTAAGTTGCTTTGGATAAAAGCGTCTAACAAGTGACATGTAATGTAATGGAATGTAGTACACAGGGATCGTATAGAAATGTTTTAAAGGGGCCCTATTATGCTCATTTTCAGGTTCATATTTTAACCTTATGATTGGTCAACGTCTTAGAGATGAAGACCGTTTACTTGCACAAAACCCTGTAGAACACACTACAGGAAAGGGAGCACCCCAAAATGCATAATGGGGCCCCTTTAATTTTCCGTGCGAGGCAGCAAAGAGAAACGAGAGAAACTGGTCACAGAAAGAAAAAATGAAACTTTATTAGTTTTTATACTTACCAACACTTTGAAATGAAAACCTATGTAATTACTCACAACTAATATAGATCTGCACAGAGCAAATGAATCAATCAAAAATAGTTACGAAGTTCTATCACTTTTTTCCCAAACTGCAATACACACAAATAAAAGCTGAAAAAAAATCAAAAAATGTCAAGTCATTCTTTTTTTCTTGCTGTTGCTGCCACATGTAAAGTGAATACAAATAAAAAGTGTTTAGACGAGCTACACAGCTCTCCTGTGTCTATGCGAATAAATAATTGCACATCGCACCCTATTATTGCATTAGTTGCAGTTTGTTTCAAAATTGTAGAATACTCAGGCATATAGACAAATGTAAGTACAGTTTCAAACAATGAATATTGATGTTATTGAAATCACACTACCATGGCGATCAAATTCATATCTTTGTCAAATGCACATGCCGACTGTGCTAATAAGCCTTATCAATCCTTGATTTTTATGTTTTTCAATGCTTTTACATGTGTACTTATTTGAAGCAAACGCCTCAGTACACGCGCACTGATAACAGTTGAATAAAAGCCATAATACCCTTGAGGATTTTCTATACCTTTACAGTAATGTTGGGAAAGAAAACCCTCTTAGATATAAGCCAACTGTCTTCGTAAAGCAAATTTGCCCCCAAAAATATTTAATTTACTCATTTGACAAACATTCCCATTGAAGAACCAGCTATGACAACTCATAATAGAAAGAAACACAAATTCATAATTTCAATGCTAGCACTACTACTTGAGTTCACATCAAAATGTAAGAATTATTGCAGAATAATCATTGACTATGTTCAGTATAGCGATACAGCATTTGTCCTTTTACATAATCACATGTATATTACCAAAGCGCTTAAGACCCTTAAGAAGTTACAGGAAAAGTTAAACATGTTGGTAATGTCAAACTTTTCCTTTAAGCTCAGCATAGGCTACTGAAAAATAAAAACAGAAAAAGTTTAAGTGAAGTAATTGAGACAATTAAAATGCAGAAAGTTCCTGTTTTGGACAGTAAATAATGAGATTCGACAATAACATTCAACAGCTGTTTGTATTATGTCAAAACTTAATAGAGCTCAGCTGATCAGAAATGAGATGACTCAAGCTGTCCAATATTTGAAGCATCATCCACACCTCCCTCTCAAATAAAACACGATACGACAAAACTAACTTAGCTTCATGATCAACAAAGAAAAAAAGTCACATGTGCATCACCACACCATAAATAAATACATGCTGGTTCAAAAACCAGTGAAGCCGGAATCGTCATCCAACCTGTCCTTTGTCAATGACATAGTCGTGACAATAAAAAGACATTCAAACCTAAAGCGTCAAAAAGAAAAGACAAGATGAACAATCTTGAAAAAGAGACTTCCATGGGTTCCCCCCAATGAACCCCTGAACATTCCTCGGCCCAAAAAATACCGTTTGGCTTCGTCCAAACATTTAGGCCTCTTTGCCGTAAAAGTCGTCTTCTTTCCTTTGTTTTTTTTACTTTCAAAGGAACCACATTTATTTTAATAAAAGGCCGAAAAGTTTGGACGCAACACTTTGGCTTTAAAGACCAACAAATTCCTCCCACATCAGAGGCAGTCCAGAGTAAAGTGTTGAATAGTCTATTGCATGAGCGCCGCGTAGTCGACTAATGTGCTAAACCACAAAAGTCCTTGTACAAAACAAATACAGTATAATAATAATAAGTTAGCAAACAATCATTACAATTTTCAGTTTGTGTTTTTTTAGCAACTGATTTTTCACTAATTCCCATTCATGCATCTATATACTAATCGGTGTTGATAGAAGGAGGCTCTGTCGGAAAGCTTTTCATTTGGGCGGGGAGCAGGACTAGATGTGAATGGCCAAAAATGCTGAAAATGTTTGCGGAAAAGAATGGGACATATAATAATAACATTTGAAGGAACACGTAGACTGAACAGGTTTACTGAAATGCACAACGATACGACACTGAAACATGCAATATAAGCAATAATGTAAATATAGGAAACTAACATGAGAAGGGAGGCTCTAGGAGTGATACCATTGGCTTAAAAGGGTCATGTGATGCAGCAACAAGTCATGGGTAGAGATTGGATTTAGACAAAGATGCAATTTAGGACAAAACCAGAACAGTCCAATTTTTTTTCTTTCCAAAAATATATTATCAAAAAAGGTCAATTTGGCTACATCCCACCACACACTCCGCCGATAGCATCACTGCGCAGCTGGAATATGCGAATAACTTCGTTCTACAAAATAAAACTTAATCTTTTACAAGTTTATACTTTTGAATGATGTTCTATGACGCAGCACAGACAGAGAGAAAAATAACGCAAGAGATAGAGAGAAGAAAGATTAACACAAGTTATTCCTAATAAACATTCAACATGCTTCAACAGTTTTCTAAAAAAAAGCCTAATCAACAGAGAATCTCTTTTTTGTAATTCTTTTTTTTTTGTATTTAATTTGGCTCTCTGAAATAAAAGCGAGCGCACATCCCTCCCCGATGTATAAATAACTTTTCAACCAGGGCGGGAAGGCGGACAGGTTTTCAGGGAGCCAGAGCCAGAGTCCGGGGGGCTTCATCAGGGTTGTCTGCGGTGGTCAATCGCTGGAAAGGGCCAAACGGAGGAGCCAGTCAGGGATTCAGGACGTGGTCATGGAAGATGGGTCGTTCCACATGGCCGCCACGTCTCTGAACCTGTGGGAGGACCATTGGTAATTGAGAAATAATGTCCTTAAAGTAACCTGCTGCTTTACATTACATAGCTTTTCTTTTAGCTGAAGCTTTCACCCAAAGTGACCTAGTGCATTCAACTGTGAAGAACTCGGAATAGTATGAAAGATGCACTACATTCTCCTCAAATCAGCCAAAAGGTTTTAAGTGCATTGGTTGCAAATGAGCCAAATCTTTATGTACTTGATTTGAGCAATGATCAATCTGAATACGTTATGTATCCTGAGGGAATTGGATTTTGTGACAGGTGCTTCATTTAAGAATAAAATAACATTTAATAAACAGCGAAATGCAATTTAAAACGTGCACATATTACTACAATATTGGTCAAAGAAAATATTTCCAAATGGGTGTATAACAAATTAATATGAATTATTATATGAATTGCTGAAAAGCAGATTATTGCTAAAAATGTACAGTAATAATTCTAGGTGAACATTGCACAGTAGAATATTAACTAGAGAATGCAATTCCTGAAGAAATTGCTGTCTGACGCAAATGAACTAATGTGTAAGAAGAAAGTGAAGAAGCAGGAATATTTGGATAACAGCGAAAGGGTTCCATATGAATGGACGTCAGAGAAAAAGTTATACACATTCATGAAACTCCCAATGTATACAAAATGTAAAAGATTTAAGGTTTCAACACATCACCGAATACAAATGTGGGACATTTAAGTGTTTAACTCATCAGGGAGGAAGTCCAGGTGCCTGTCTTTTAACTACTGACTTGTAAGGCCTGACTCTCTGAATAAACGTTGTCTCTGACCTTGCATTGATGAGGTACTGGGCCAGGCTGATGTTGGCGGGGGTCCCTGTGATGGTGATCTGGCGCTCCGATGACCCTTCCATGGCGTTAGCAATTTTGATCTGTGCCCCAGACATCTGACGGATCTCGTTGATTTTGGTTCCCTGGCGTCCGATTATGCAGCCTATTAGCTGGGAAGAAAATGGGGACGGGACTTAGGATGGCCAGAACAAATCAAAGACACACATTTTTATCTGACGCCATATTACACTGCACTCGATGTGATGCAATACTACGGGTCATTGTCAGCCTTTCAACCATAACTCTTATATTCCTTTCATTGGGGCAGCAAGTCTTTTCCATTAAGGCCATTCACTTTACAAAGCCAACTGCCTTTGGCTGCACTATATCTCTGCTGTGGTCCTCTATAGCTGCAGCTGTCAGATTGTATTGCTAGAAGCTAAAACGGGAAGCCATATTAAGAGATAATAAACCAGTTTTTTTTACTCTGTGGTCGAACAACATTTTTGAATTTGTGCTTTGACAGATGACTAATGCCTTGCTTTGTTCCTGTGCAGATTTTTCAGGAATTGAACGTATAGTTTTAACACTCTTTTGTATTAGTTGTTGTAATCTTTATGTAAACAGCCTGGCATCATTGTTGTGACTAGCTTTGGTTCCAATGTCTCATTGACCTTTATTTTCCGAATGTTTTGGTTTCAAATAAGTGTTTTAGTTAAGGGTATAGTGTATTGAAAGTGTAACAGAAGACTTATGGACATACATTATAAAATATGTGACTTTTGTTATAGTGTCGTCAGATCACGGCAAATCTGTTGTGGAAAATTAAACAAAAAAGCACTCACGAGAAGACATGTCACACATTAAGACACATGTACTCACATCATTGGGAATGGTGAGTTCATGAGTACTGGCCTGGTTATTGGCATCCAGACCTGCTGCTGCAACACAGGAAAAGGAAATACAATAGAGTTTGGCACATTGAGGGAGTGAACAGCATTGATGAGATGTAGTCCATGGTGTTATTTAACTCCCTGACCAGTAGAAAGTCTGGCTCTGTACAACTCCTATCACCTGACACTTGATTTCTACTAAAAAAACATGAGGCAATTGCATCATTACAGAAAGATACGAAGGGGACACCAAAGAACAAAAGAAACCTCAACATCAACAAGAGCAAACCACCAGCAGGCCATGTCAATGGCAGTGCACGACAGAGACCATTAGGACAATGACGAGAAGAAGAAGAAGAAGAAGAAGAAGAAGAGTAAAGACAGGAAGAGAAAGAGAAAAAAAGGAGGTAGAGAACGTGTTTGTCTCTACAGGTAAAAACGAGAGAAGGAGCTTTGGTAAAGAGGGGCGTCGTGTAGGTGGGTACGTACCGGGGAAGGCAGGGGTGGTCTGTCCGAGGGGGTTAAAGGGGGTTTGCTGCATAGCCAACTGGTGGAGCTTGCTCAACTGCTGAGGGGGGGAGGAGGAGGACAGCAGTGCTATGAGGTCATCGTTAAAAAAACACACTCTCGAACACACACACTCACACGCACAGACACACACAAACAGGTCTGTCCGAAATGCTACAAGAGTAGAGAGGATCTGAGGAGTAGTAACAACACAGACAGGTGAAGGACAAAGACTAAGAGATACAAAGAAAGAGAGCAGAGAAGAAGAAGCTCATGGAGGACTTGGCCTGAGACTGTGGTGATGGAGTCATCCTAAACCGGTGACTACCATTTTAGGATGATGTCAGATTTACCATGCCATTTTTTCAGCAATGGTCCACTTGCACTATTTGTGTCACAGGTTCATTGTATTTGACATGCCTGGGACTTCCATTGCCAACAACTGTAGCTTTTGCAGATAAAGCCTTTGAATCTTGAATTGAATCTTGACTCTTGATTTCCAAATTGGCTACACGTTCATACTCTCAAATAGTTAGATGCAGATGCTTGGTTAGACACCCCTTGACTTGACTGTTCTCACTTTTAGTGTCATTTTTCAATCTGCAGGATAGTCTTATAGACTTCAACAAGTGGTTAACATGTCCCAATGTATGTGACATAAGATACAGTAACATGTTACTTTTTATACACTTTGCTACCTGACTGTTTCCTTTACTCTAGTCCAAATGAATATGCTCACTGGCTATAGGCAGATTTGTGCACCAACGCAGGTTCATTAACCAAGCCAAAATTAGACAAGTTTGGTGTGAGAAAAGGCTGATTATCTCGTCTTCCATTTTCTATTTTGTTGTTCATTTTGGAAAGGGGGAGTTTCAAATATATTTAAAGAAAACTCAATCATAAGTCACAGCCACAAAATCTGCTTTTCATACTATTTTTTCATTCTTTTTTTTCTTGGTTCTGATTTTGATTGCATTATTTTCAACTGGCAAATAAGTCTTCAACAATTTCACAATGGCTCCGGTTACTATAAAGCGCCAACCCTATTTTATGCATGTTCTAGTTGATTTGATATAACCGTAAAACCACCAGCCATCAGGCCAAGCTCCACAAGGTTGAATGCCCAACAGAGGGCAGGGAGGAAATAGTCAGAAAAGTTAGAAGATAAAGGAATTACATATCAGAAATAAAGCTGTATTAATATTAGCAATTAATATTAATATGAGTGGAAAGAGAGTAAAGAGCCTGCAGATTTGGATGCAGTGACAGAATAATGGAGCGTGCAGTGTGCACTGCCTCGTGGGGTTCGCACTCACGTCAGGATGAGGGATGGCGTACTGTCCTTGAATGGTATAACCCTGGAAACAAGAGAAGAGCTTATTGTTATCTCATTACACCAGTGGAACAAATACCAAAACATACAGCCTATTATAGAAATATATTTTTGACAAGGGAAAACTAATCACTCTACAACAAACTATACGTGATGTAAAAACTGTTGACTACCACACTCTACAGACATATTTTTATTTTATTTTGTATCACTACAAATTCATGCACTATTCATACATCAGATCCAGTTGAACTCAATCAATAGGGGACAACACAGACAGTGGGGGGGGTGAGGGGAGGCGTGAGGGAAACCAGGTGAGCGGCCCTAAAGCGAGTGATGAGATTGAGCTTTTAGGTGGTGGTGGGCCACAGGGGTCAGAACTGAGCTAAATTCATTTCATCAGCCAAGAGAGCGAGCAGTGGTAGACCGTCACCAGAGAAATAACACGTCTAGTCTCTGCATTTGGTCAGTAAAGTAGAAATTGGAAGATTTTGTATTAATAAATAAATAACCGACATCTAAATGTAGGTATGTTTTGCTTTCCTAATTTCCATGAGAATATTTGAATCAAACACAATTCAACTTCATATTTTACTGGCTACAACACTTAACCTGTCATTATTCATCGAGTATTAAAAGCCACATTAAGCATGCTAATGGGAGTCTTATATAGAACTTAATTAGCCACTTTTGTAATTATGAATTCATTGATCAATTTAATTAATTGGTTGTTACATTTAGATTTGCTGATTTTCCTTATCCTATGATACAGCAAACTGAATATTTGGGGGATTTTCCAACCTTAAAGCTACTTACTTTGTTTATATAATAGCTTCAACTCTAGCGTTTCATACGGATGTGATTGCAATGGTTAATTTATTTTCTTCAATTGAATTAAATGTTTATCTGTTTTTATCAACCATGCAAATGATCCTCAGTGTTTTCACATTCATCTCCTGTAATTCACACCCTGTCCAGTAGGTGTCTCTACGGAGTTTCCCTTCCTTTGTGTACACCTGATGCTCCCCTGCATGGGTCGCTTCGAATGATCTTCCTAAGTAAGTAAATGTAAGTGTCTCTTACAGTAGGTTCTATGTTTGACTTCCTTTCATTCAAGCTCACCAAGTTATTTTTGCTCAATCACTATAGGATGTTGTTGGTGCTTTCTTTATTTTAATTTGAGTTAGCTTGATGGCATAATTTTTTAGCACATTTTTACACTTTCTTTAAAATATTTGTATCATTGGCTGCTACTTCAAGACTTAAGACTGTAACATCACTTTTGTGAATTAACCCTCTGCAAAATATACATTTACATGTGTTTATCTTAATGTTATTACTAGAAGCTATTTCCACTACGGTTTATGTTAACTTACATTTATAATTCAGCTATGTTTTTACCATGAATGTCTTTATTTAATGTGTTAGTCTTTGACCTTGGATTTGAACTCTCCCCTTTGCTCTAACAAAGTACGTTTTAAATAAGGATTTCTGATTCTTGTGGCAGTGTTTTGTTCATTGTTTTCTGTTAATGTCTTTATCCAAGTTCTGGTTTGCGTGGCTGCAGGTCATGGAGGACAGTGAGGGCACAGTAGACAGCAGTGATATGTCATGCTTGTCAGGGGGGCTCAGGGGGAGTGAGGGAGGGAGGATAAGTGAGAAAAACCTGGTGCAACACTAACAGGCAGTGGCTGGTGCTGCAGTAAGAGGCTGAGGTTGGCCGTGGACGCCCCCAGTGGGTCTGCTCTTACCTGGCCACCTGAAAAAATGACAGGGGTGGAGGCAGGCTTGGGGCGGTAGGGGATAGTGGCACCTTTCGGTGGGGACTGAGGAGAGCAAAGGAGGAGAGAGTGGGGGGAAGAAGAAGAAGGAGTGAGATGTGGAGAGAGTGTTAGAACAGAGAGAAAGAAAGAAGTTGCATAAAGTGAAACCAAGAGGGACAGTGCCTTGGGGAGGACGACCTGTGACACAAAGTGCTCTTCAGTGTGTTCATGCCCACAGAAAATGTCCAAATCGTGGTTCAGTGCACAACTAAACTTGGATTTACCTGGAACATCACTTTCAACTGGATAATGATGAGTCTACATACTGTGTTTGTAATGTCTAAAGTCCATGTTTGAGAGACTTACAGTCATGTCACATATCTCCTAGTATCCATGGCTGGTGCCATCATGAAGGCCCAATGGAGAACTGGCTGTGCAGATAGTTCAAATGAATGGTGACGGAGAGACAGTGTGTAGCCCTTTGATTTAAAGCATTATGAATTGTTGAGGACAGTAACAGACAGTTTAAGTATTTTCTACCCTGCAAAATACAGTCCTAATTGTTTGATACGTACTTAATTTCTGCTTTTTTGTGACTGGAGCAAGCTGGCTAAACTGTCTATATAAGATTTTAACAAAAATATTTAGACTGCACAATGAGATTTTTGATAAATAATTTTCAGTAATTTAGATATAATTACAATGTATGTAGTACACTTTTCTGTAATTGATCATATCAATTCAGGAAAAGAGACTACATTTCTAGTCTCATATCTCTATATCAATATAGCCCAGACCTACTTTCAAAATGTACAAACCAAGACGTCAGAGCACAAAAAAACAATCAAATGCATTGGTTATGAAATAGTAGTAAATAACACAGTAATTAACATTTTGTAATCAGAGAGATGCAGATCATCCTTAAAATACTCTAGTATGTGCTAGTATTTATAGTTTTCATTGTTAGTGGCAGAGAATTCAACACATATGCACAAAGGATTTTCAGAAAATGAAGCCGAATGTAATGTAAACTATTCTATTTATCAATTGTGTTTTGTATTTAATTGACTGGCTTACATCTTAAAGATTGAAAACAACCATCTTTCATATTCCATATCATGCATTTGAATGAAATGATTCAGATTGTGGTTCAGTGTGAATCATGTGAACTTGATATTTCCCTCTCTGTGGTACTGTACCTCCAGCATCACCACACAGATCTGTTTGACACACTGGATGATGGCTTCAGGCGCTCCGGAGATCGTCACTGCTCTCTCCGTGGAGTTGGGCAGCATGTCACCTGCAACCTGGACCTGAGCTCCTGTGGACTAATATTGAAATAATCTGAATGAATGCATTGACATGTATGTAAACTTGTAAAGGGATACTAGAGCAAAAAACACTACACATGGGGGAATATAAAGGACAACAATCTTAAATCAATGTTTTAATCCCATACAATTTACAAGGAACTACAGTTGAATAGAGTTAATAAATAATAAATGACGCCATGAAGTAAATAACAGCTTAATATGTATTTAGTCTAAGAGAAGACATGGTATAAAAACATGAATAGCAATGTCTTTGCTGTAGTTTTGCCTTCAAACAAAGTATTCTAGTTAGTTCAATGAAATAGAAATAATAGACTACCTCTCTCATTTCTTTGATTTTGGAGCCTCCTTTCCCGATGAGAGAGCCGCACTGGCTGGCTGGGACGACGAGCCTGAGGGTGACCGGGGGTTTACTGGTGGCCGGACTGTTGCTCATAGAGTTTATTATATCCTGAGGGAGGAACCAATGCTGTTATCAGACCAATATACCATGTATTTACAGAGGTAGCAAGTTTACTGCACCACAAAGTAAACTCTTTTAGATATGTGCACATTGTATTTTTTCCTTAGTTGTTATATTTATATATATCTGAAAATACTTGACATTAATAAACCTTATGTGTTATTAAGAATCATTTATAATATACACCTTCTACCTGATGAATAAAACGGTTAAAGGGCATTTCCTCTGTATGTGTACATCTGGAAAGTCCTCTTATTTTCCACCTACAAACTGATGTTGTTTTGGTTTCGCCCTGCTTTGATACCCAGATCTAAACCTCAATACTGTGCCTTTTCCAAAGGGTGCTGCAAGGTTAGATCAGCATATTTCTGTCCTACATAACAGAGCGAGCCTGCTTTGTATTCATTAGGAGACGCAACAGTACTGACAGTAAAGCAAAGCCAGGGGTGGGAACTGAGTACTTTACTTAAATCAACTCTGAGGTACTTACATGTAGCATTTTTATTTGAATGCCACTTTCTACTGTCTATATATTTGTATTTATACACTTTCATGTACAAATGTCAAATATAATTCAAGCTTCTCAGATGTGAGGATATGCAGCTTTCCCCCTTAAATAATTGTGTTCTTTTAGTTTGAAAACATAATCGAATCCATGTTATTGGGAAAGTAATCAGCAGAATATTGCACAAGGAAAATATAAAAAAACAATATTCAAAACAAATGAACTACATCAATTAAAAGATCCCATGTCATGCTTTTCCGGTTATTACCCGTCCCCTTGTGTTATGAAGGTTGTTCTGCATGTAAACGGTCTGCAGAGTCACAAACCCTCAAAGTGCACCCTGTAGCGAGTAAAACTCTAACACAGAAAAGACCTGTCTATGCTGCACCATAGACAGGTCTCTTTTTCCATTGTTTTCTTCCTGGGTACAGTGACGTGCCCATACCCAAATGGACCCATTGGTCCAAATGGACCAATCCGTGGAGCCGTTACGTTCGCGGAGCCGTTACGTTAAATTTGTGGATTGGTCCAAATTGACTTCCTCACACACACACTCAATCTTTTCTCAGCTGCAGCTCCTCCGATTTCTCCCCCCAGAGACGGCGGGACGCGGCGAGGCTGTGAGTCGGTGTGTGAGCACACATACAAACTCCCAGCCAGGCTACGGGTGTGTGTGTGTGTGTGTGTGTTCGGGCTGGGTTTCGCTGTGTCTCGCAGGCGGCCACTGAGCTCATAGGGAGGGGGGGCAGGAGCTCCAACAAGCCGTTTAGGACAGAGAGTGAATACACATACTTTACAGAGATGCTGAATGAGAAACCAATGTGAGTTTGGAACATTGTACAATATAAATCTATTGTAGTAGACCTCAACAATGGAATTATGATCAGTAGAAATGGCTAAGTCATGGGACCTTTAATAGATACAATTGAATAACAGTACGTTCTGTAAAACGTTTTGCATTTCTCTACAATAAGTATTTTTAATTGTTTTCTGAATATGCTTATATTCTTTTATTTCACTTATTTAAATCTAAGAGTACTTAAAGGAGCAAAGGATCTGAATACTTCCTGTACCGCTGTGGCAAATGTAGTGCTTTGATTTAGTATAGTGCTGTACTTTAAAGTGCTAAAATGGTGAATGTGTTACCTCCTCAAACTTGTATGCTATCATGGCGAAGGCCTTGAAAATAGCATCTGTGGGCCCAGTGATGGTGACTATCCTCTCAGGGCAGTTCCCCTCTGAGATGTTGATACGTGCACCGCTCTATAGGCCAACAAACAATTACAGGATTAGGAAAATAAGCATATGTTAAAAGCGGTAACAATACTTTTCTAAAAAGTCCTTCTTACATCTTCACGCATTTTCTTCACCGTTTCTCCTTTCTGGAAGTAAAAAATAAATAAAGATATAATTGCTGTAGGCGATATGACATTGTACATGGTGTGCTGTGTGTGATATACCTTTCCAATGATGCTTCCAACCTCCTGCAGACACACAAACAAACAATGTTAAGTGTATAAGGGCTTGACGTCACCAGGCAGATTTTAGGAAATATAAACAAGTAGCCGCGTGTCTCGGTACCTTGCCGTGCATCAGCAGCCTGATAGTAAGGGTCACGTTCAGGCCTCCTTCTGATTGGACCTTGATGGGCTCCATGTCGGGATTGGATGTAAAGGAAGGGGCGTGGTCACGTGAGAGAGGAGTTCAAGGGCCAACGCGAGTGTGATGGTGGAGTCAGCCAAGCGGTCACCTGCCAGAAAAAAGAATACAAGACAACTGTTTCAAATATTTTCCTCTGCGTCTCCTTGCTTTAAGGTAGGGTTTACTTATGTACAAATCCGCAAAAACAGTATAGTTAAGTGCTTAATTTAGGTAGGGAAATGTTAATATTCATGCAAAAGGTGAAAAAAAGACAGATACAGCCTGCGACTCTAACGATAGTCTCATGTGTCATACTTTAAAGTCATTGCTCTTTAACCAGTGGCGTTTTCTCCTGGAGGCCAAGGGAAGCCAGGCTTCCCCTGTTTTTTCGGATTGTAGTTATAATTTTAATAAATAAATAAAAACACTTTGTTTGGTTTCGGTAATTTTTCTGTGCTGTGTGTTGCTGCCGGTGTCAGTACCAGATATGTTCGGGCTACCAGATATGTTCGGGTGTATTTCCGTCGCATCCGTCATCCGTCATATCCGTCATATACTCACCTCCCTCTGCTCCCAGCGCTCTGCTGCCACACACTGGCCGTCTGCGGAACTGCAGCCGGAGGAACTCGGGACAGCTTGTTATGTGTGGGGTGCTATGGTGGGGTCCCATGTACTTGTGCACATAAATAATGTTTCTAATTATTTACAATTCAAAAATATATATATTCTGCATTACTTTAGCCAACACTTTTATAAGGCCACTAGATTAGATAATTACGAAATGTGTAGATAGAATACATATCTTTCAGGTTGTTATTTTGTCATTATGTTTAATGTTTTATTTACCTTTTAGTATTTTTATATAGTATCTGAACTTTGGAGAGCAGTTGGGAGACACACGACACATCAAATCACATCTACAGATCAAGACGAAGCGAATGGAAGTACTCCCATACTCCTAGCGTGAAAATGTTTGTGAAAACGTGTGCAAAGTCTCCGAAAATCCTAAAAATAAGCTCATATTTGAATTCCCCATAAAAAAACACATCATTCAGTAAAAAGAAGGCCCCACTGATCATCTACTCTCTGAGACGATTCCAGGGATGTCTGGCTTGAGTTTCTACCACCAGGGAAAGTGGACAAAAGTGCCCGAGATCAGCCTCTTAATTTACCCAGGGCCTAGTGCTTGGCTTTTGGCATGAACATTCAGGAAACTCCCCTGAGTATTTTATTAAATATCTGAACTTTGGAGAGGAGTTGGGGGACACACGACGCATCAAATCACATCTACAGATCAAGACGAAGCGAATGGAAGTACTCATAGCGTGTGAACATGTTTGTGAAAAACGTGTGCAAAGTCTCTGAAAACGGAGCAGTGGCTGTGATGCTAGCTTTGCGGCTAGCGGTTAGTTGTTATTGTTTGAAGTTGTTGCTATGGAAACAACATGACGGAGAACAAATTAATATCTTCTACATATAATAACGGACAAAGTAAAGAATGAAGTGTAGGCTATGCCTGTTTGAAGTTGTTGCTCAGGAAACAACATGACGGAGAAAAAGTATAATCTTCTACATATAATAACGGACAAAATAAAGAATGAAGTGTCGGCTATGTTTAAATGTTCGGAATTTGACAGTGATGGCCCTCTTGAGTTGCCGTAAAATATGACGAATATGACGGATGACGGATGCGACGGAAATACACCCGAACATATCTGGTAGCCCGAACATATCTGGTACTGACACCGGCCCGTCTCTCCCCCATTCTCATTGAGTATTTTACAAATAGTGAAACAGCGCCCCTCTACATGTTATGGTGAAACAGTAGATTGCACTCTCTGTTGCGAGAGGAGGCCAGCATAAATTGGCTTCCCTTGGTGAAAAACAATCGAGGGATTGACCAATCAGACAAGGCTCACGTCATGCCCCTGTCAACCTGTGTTTAGTCAGGGCCAGAGCATGGATGTATAAGAGCCAGAGGCGGCTGGCTTCCCTTGCCTCACAATCCAATCAAATCGCATCAATTTAGTGTGGCAGTGACGCATCCTAAAACCCGGAAGTAAGCTGCGCTCGGTTTCCCTCGACAAAAAGGCAATGGGATTTCTCCATAGGATTTTGGAAAATAGCTCAAAATAAGGTCAGTGAATAACGAACCTGTTAGATAAATGCATGTTTTGTTCAGTCGGATAATATCCACATGTCTACCCTACTTTTATAATTTTCGAATCATAAATCTAATCGATAGAAGATAGATAGCGTCTCTGCACCACTCTCACCGCCGTTAGAAAGTAGCAAGCACCTGAAGCAAGTTCAATTATGGAGGGTGGAGATTTGGAGTATTTAATCAAAAATAATTGTACTAAACTTCCGCTACAGCAGCAACAACAAATACAATCTGATGACAGGCCGATGCCCAAACTGGAGCTGTGTACAGCGAGGAAAAAAGGAGCGAATCGGACGTAAAACGTTAAAGGTCTCCTGATTTAGTTTGTGAATTAATTCTTATTAGAGTTTGGGCTGGAGAGTGCGTGCGGACCTGTTGGTTAGATAACAGGCGTGTGTAAGTCCTGCATCTGTATGATACAAATGTGTGTAAAATGATACCGGGTGCTGTAATCACTCATCTGGTTACGTTATTACATTGACCACCACACCCCCGGCCCAAAAGAAAGGACGTATTATTGGCTTCCCCTCATTTTTTCCCCACGCCACTGTCTTTAACAGGATAGTTTAATGTTATGTAAATAATTGAAACGGGCCAAAAAGCTCCTGGTTTACTGCAGTTTGTGCTAAATGCAATCACCTCGTATAAAAAAACTGGATAATTGTAGTTATATTCTACCAAAAATATAACAATGGGTTACTAGTCCATCTCTTAGTACGTTCTGACTACTCTGTCTATGTCGCTCAACCCCATGCCTATTAGTTCGTATGGATTTTTTTTTTTCATTGTAGTTTTTAGCAAATATTTATCAAAGAATACAAATCGTTATGGATTGCTGCGAATGAATAAACATGTCATTCAGTAAAACAATGTAGTTTTAAAAATGTTTTTAGCCAATAATTATAGAAAAAATACTTATCAGTAGATACATTTACTGTTGTCTTTCATAGAAAATACACAGAATATCACCAAAATTAGCCTTTATGTTCAGTCGTATTTCATTGGCTGGATCGAGGTCTTATAGAGGGTCCTAACTGTTGTTGTTCGTCTTTATTATTTCAGTTTTGCGCTTGCATATTGCTTATGTCTCAATTTATACTACCACATAACAAACCTGCAGCCTTGTTGTATTTAAATGCATTAAGCACTGCCTGAAACAGGGAGAAAATGGACTAACTGGAGCCCAGCATCTAGTTTTGGCCCCGGGGGAACAAATAAACCAACATGTAAATTGTTGGATGTAAATATGCTCCAATAATCTTTGTTGCATGAAAATAAATGGTGCTAAAAAGCCTAATGTCGTGCAATAGTTTGCAATAAAAGCGATTGAAAAGTAGGTCAGCATATGTCTCTTCAGTCACGAGATGAGCCATGGAACGTTGAGCGCCATATTTATTTGTATCAAACCTATTTCAGCTGGAATCCATCTAATTCTGCCTGACATATGATGTAATGACTCAAACAAGACGTGATTGAGCAGAGCGACCACAAGAGGGCGCTGCAGCCTGACACTAGAACTGCCATGCAATTATTTTATTCTCGGACGCATTTAAATCCACGTTCAAAACTTTTTCCTAAAAACCGTAATCAGAATAGTCCTTTAACTTATCAGGCATGTTTATTGTGAGCTTTAATAGGATATCAGTTTATCCAGCTTAAGTGAGTGCCTCCAAATGATGTAAACATAACTACATTGAAATGAAAGCTTCCAAATTGAATATATTATCAAGAAAAAACACATTTATTGTGTATTTTTCGTTGAAATAGTGTTTGTTTATCATTAGCTTGACTTCAAAAATGATAACAAAAGTAAATGAAGAATAAACTAAATTGAATACGACCAGGTAGATTCTGAGGCAAAGAAATAAATAAATATTTCCTATTTATGTTCCGGTACAATGAAACATTGCATGCAATCACGTGTCACACCATAAACCTCCACGTCTAATGCTACACTTTGCCACATATTGATATTGATAGACACTTAGAGGGAAACTTCTACAGCATATAGAATGAGTTGAATCATAGTTGTTGCCGACGGCTACATGAGTATATGTTGAAAAGAAAAGCAGCTGACCTTGACTGAAGACACGTAATGTCACTGTCTGCCAATCAGAGGCAATGTTGCTGTGAGGAAATGGAAATGTCTTTCTTTCCTACCTCCCTTGTCTTATCTCTTATTATTTGATTGAGACACAGTTATGGTTTAGGAGAAAATAAATAGGGGAATTGGACATTAGTGCATAAAAATGACACAGTTTTGAAAATGTAGCTGTTCAGTCCTCTCTGTCAGCTTTCATCGCCAACACAATTTAACATCTTAACTCCCCTGAATGCAGCTCGGATTGACTACAGATTCATCTCTTTACACATATCTATGTCTATAGGGGAACTATGAGACAGGTGGTGACACCGTCAAATCACTGCTGACACATTGCATAGCAAAACAACTTCCCCTAAATGTTTTTATTAAACATAAAACAAGATGCTTAATATGTTGAGGTTCAGTAATATAGTCTATTTGTTATTGTTGTGTTAATGACATGGACCATGCAGAACAAAACGATAAAGCTGTAGCTTCTAATCTGAAAGCAGCTACAAGTATCAGTGTCTGCACAGATAAGACACTTAAGATAACCAAACAAGGATTGCTACAACAAAAAACAATCAAGGAATATAATATTTATCTTCAATTTATAGTAACATAACTTTATTTCAATATCATGTACACTTGCAGTATTTTTTATACTTTCCCTGGGATAAAATCTCTCTTATGTAACCGGCTGTTTTTATGTGTACAACCTGGATCTGTAATTATGTTTGGAGTGATTATTACTAAATACTTGTATTATTGTATTGTGTATTCCTGGCAATTTAAACCC